GCTGTTGCATTAATTGGAAATAACCAGAGGGTCAATGTTCTTTAAACATATGAGAGCCGCATCTGCACCATTTTAATAGATGGCAGGGAAAGACTATATCGCCGAGGTGAACAAAATGAACAATTTTATTTTACTGCTTCTGTCTCCTATGACAGAGGTTTAGTCATGGTTAGGTTAGGTTAGTCAAGAAACCACACATTTTCAGATCCAATTTGAGTTTTGAGGTGTAAAATTGATACCAATATCCACCTTTCCTTTGAAACTCTGTATTTTCTTGAATAATTGAGATATCAAGATGAATAAAAAACCAAAATATTCGGAATAGATTGGGCTCCAATTTGGTGTTGAAAAATCGTTTCAATTATCAGTGGTTCAGTCTACAGAATGTGTAAAAAAATACCGAAAAATCCGTACTTTCTTTACACCCCTGTATTTGATGGAAAGACTCATCGTTTGAAGGTAATTATTTCTCAGATGTATTCGTGAAGTATGAAGCTACATTTCGTGAAGAAAAAAATTTGAATCGAGCGATCAGTTCGAAATAAAATTGATGTCAAACTTAGTGTTAATTTTGCCCGTTCCCCTAATTGTGCCAGTGTGTGTATATTAAGCCAGTGTATATATTGTAGATACCATCAATATGGAAGGAAACTCTTTGAAGCGTTATGAATTTTGTAAAATAGTTGAGAACTGGAATATCTGATCGTTATGAATTTTGTAAAATAGTTGAGAACTGGAATATCTGATCGTTATGAATTTTGTAAAATAGTTGAGAACTGGAATATCTGATGTTAACCTCATATCAAGTATACCTACCCAAGGAACCACAGCACACTGGCTATGTGCGCACATGATCCCAGAGTACTAGAACCTTGCTTGCATGCATGTGTAGTGATAACCAAGTGATAACCATCAATCCGATCATTTCAACCTGGTACCTGATACCCAGTTGATGTTTAGCGAATCTGTATGTACCTGCGATCTACAGTCATTTGATGAAACCACAAATGATTATTTTTCTCTATCTCCTGGAGCGCATTAAACTGAATCTCTATTATGTTCAAGAATCATCGTGAATAGGTACCCATAGGAAGTATATAGTATGATAGATCTTGATGGTGTCTAATAGATAATTGAAAGACGTTCCAAATGAAGTAATGAGGTATACATTGGACCCTTCATTCCATTTTGAAAAAACTTCAAGATCAATATTCTTTGTTGTGGACTCAAAATGCAGCACTCAACTACCGTTGGGACAGAAAATAATGAAAAATCCCAGCCGTTCAAGAGTTAACTAGGAGGGGATAACTTCGTGGACACACACACACGCCCTAATAATGCACATCAATAAAACATTGATTAACATTTCGTCATTATTGTTTTCAATTCCTCTTTTCAATAAAACGTGGGTTTCTGCATATGGATATAATAGCAAAGCGAACAGAGTGATGACGAGAATGAACGTGAACCTTGTTGTATTTCGAAAATAGGGTTCAGAGAACAACGTCAGAGGACATATCGGATCTTTTGATAGTTGGATCACTCTGTATTCATAATATTTTCCTTTTTTTTTCGGTCAACGTTCATTCTGATCAATAGTCATTGATGAACTCAATAAATCAGCCAAGTCTCGTAGACAATTGCATTCGCATCCTCTGAAGAACACCCTGAAAAAAGGCTATTGCATCTTCTCTGTGCCCTTGAAACATACTTACCTTCAACCAATCTCAATAACTCCCTACCGCATATCTTATCTTCATTTTGGGGTGAATCCATATCAAGAGATTTTCATATTATTTATTGAGCTCCGCAATCTCGAAAATACACGAAATTCATGTTGTTTCACCATCTAGCGCCGAATCTGGTCATACGATCGAGTTGGGCCAATGGAGTCTTTTACTCAGAATGATTTCAGCTACAACATATCAAAAATCCAGCCATTTTCTCCCGTGTGCAATCAATGGTGTTCCCTCAATGATGACATTCTAGTAAAATGTTTGAGGTGAGTATTATATTTGATGGATTTCTTGATGGCTTGCTCCTTATCATCATGCGAATTTCCAGCAGCACTATCAGCTGAATCCATTCTCAACTCAGGTCAGTGGTCGTTTTTTCGGCAGGTAGCTGATGATGCTTCCTTGATCACATGAACTTTGACAAAGCAGGAAGGAAACGGCATTCCTTGAAATGAAGATGAAGCGAAACCTGTTGATGAATGAATCACTGTTAATTCACAAGATACTCTAACATTACAGAATACGAAGACTATTGATTAGTCATCAGGAAATGCGTGAAGGTGATTCGAATTCAAAATATTGCACGTGAATATAGAGATGAAAATTATATTCCGGATGAGTATTTCATTCATTTAATACAGGTAGCTCTATAGTTTGTACTAAGGAAGGACTCCTAAGGATTCAAAAGTTGGGAAAATCGGATATTAGGCAACCAGCAGGTTCGTGGAATACCCATCTCTCTCTGGCTCATAAGTTAAATAAATAATATGTTGAAAAATACTCATCACAATTAATTTATTTCTCGCGTATTTAACGTGAAGAAGCTACTGTGTTAGTCGTGTCATTAAGAAATTTGTGGGGATCTTATCATTTGTGAAGTTTTTCACATTCACTATGGATTTCCATTAAGAAATGGCAGAGCCAAAGAGTCTATTAAAAAAATAATGTATTATACATCTTCGCCCCTAGGGTGAGATATAAGCTTATTATATAACAGATACTGACAAAACAAAATGAAATAATAAAATTTTGCAAGAAGAAGAATATTTTGAATTTTGAAATTAAAGCCTAAAGTGGCCCAACTTTTAAGGAACATTGATCGGACGAGGCGAAAGAGTTCCGTATACGTGTGTCCATTTAGTGCGTAATTCTTCGATATCTCGAAATCAATTATCACAAGAGAAAAACTTTGGAGAAAAAACTGTTTCAGTTACTGGAGTTGCTCATTTCAAAAATATTTCCAACAATACTGGGTGTTTTATAAAAGCGGGGCAACTCGAAGACGAGTTTTTTTAAATGGAACACCCAGTATTGTTCATTCGAAATTCATTCCGCTAAGGTTCAGCTCTACATCGCTGTAAAAAAAATTGAATTTGGTTTAGGCGTTGCCAAGTTATAATTGATAAACCCATTTTTACTACTATTGAAGGGTCATGTTCAATTGGGTATGGTATATTTATTTATTGAAATTTCGAAAATATTTTTGGCATACAGTAGTAGCAAGGTCTCACGTATACCAATCCAGTAATCTTGCAAGATAATCCTTTACAGGGTGCTGAAATTTACATTCTGAAAATTGTAAGATTCAGACGACGATCATGAGAATTTTTCAAATGGAACACCCTGTATTTTTCATCACAGATTTATTTCGACATCATTCGCCTTTCCATCGCTGAAGAAAAAATCAGAATCGGTTGCGGCGTTTTCAAGTTATGAGTGGTTTTCTTATTTTTACTACTTTTTTGGGGTACTTTGTACGTCATGATGGTTCCTTTATTTGATTTGAGTGTGGGAATATTGCTTGCCACATGACATTCGAGGTTCTACATAGATCATTCAGGTATTTTTGCGATATGTGCATCGTCCAAATTTGAAATATTCCGTAATCTTGTTACTTATGATTTAAATAATATTTGAAACAAACAAACATGCCAAAAGCGACGCCTGTGTTTGAAACAACTTCTACAATACAAACAATGAAGATGCCGATTGCGAAATTTAGGACAATTTTTTTAAATTTTGGCCATTTTTATTGTCGTTATTTCCACAATCCGAATCTCTATTTAACTTGAAGGAGGTCAACATAATAATACAAACAACTCTACTACGCGGCTTTTGGGAGGGAATTCATCAAAATGTCGAATCAATCCAAGATATTTTTGATTGTGGCGATGTTTGACAGGTCATTACACAAATATAAGTGTATTCCGAAAAAAATTCAAACTTGGAGAGCCTGTAAATGTTCCTATTGTAAAAAAATATATGAATGGTCAATGAACAAATTTGATTATACCGTAGCAACGCAATATTTCCACAATACAAATAAATGAAAGAACTGACGTACAAATTACCCCGAAATAGTAGTAAAAATAAGGAAATTATCCATAACTTGACAACGCCGCAACCGATTTCGATTTTTTTTCCAGCGATAAAAAGGCGAAAGATGTCGGAATGAATTTTTGAATGAAAATACAGGGTGTTCCATTTGAAAAATTCTGATGAATGTCATCTGAATCTTGCAAAATTCTAAATGCAAAATTGAGCACCCTGTTGAAGAATATGTCGCAAAATCATTGGATTGGTATACGTGGGACCTTGCTCTTACCGTATGCCAAGAATATTTTCAAAATTTGAATAAATGAATATACCATGCCCAATTCAACATGACTCTTCAATAATGGTAAAAATAGAATTATCAATTATAACTCGGCAACGCCGCAACCGATTTCAATTCTTTTCACAGCGATGTGAAGATGAACCTCGGCGAAATTAATTCCGAATGAACAATACTGGGTGTTCCATTTAAAAAAACTCTTCTTCGAGTTGCCCCGCTTTTAGAAAACACCCAGTATTGTTGAAAATGTTTGAAATGAGCAACTTCAGTAACTGAAAAAGTTTTTCCCCCAAAGTTTTTCTCTATAGGTTATGGCTTTCGAGATATCGAAGAATTACGCACTAAATGGACACACTGTATAGGTCATCGACCGCCGTCGACTCATCATAGTCAAGGTCTCGGAGGTATATTGTGGGGGTTGAATGATTTTTTATTATTCGAAGGAGTTTCATCCTGGAAAAAGGTGAATAAGTTGTTAAACGAACCTTCGAGAATTGATAGAAGAATTTTATATCACCAGCATGTTAAGAATAGTGCCATGGAGCTGTGATGGATCCTTGAGTTTACATTACAATAATTAAGATACATCCACCTAACCAATTAGAGTATAACTATGTTGTGTGTATTATGTCTTTCGATTCAATGAGAATCTACTCATATTTATCACTGTAGGTTTGTTCATTTTCGATTTTAACGAATTGTCTCGAATTCTGTTCATGATGAACAAATTCAATTTCACTTTTCACACATTTATCCACAAATACAGAATCTGTTGGTAAAATAGTGTCCTCGACGACTTCATCCTTCACTTCTGTCTTAATCTCATCGTCAAATTCATTAATAGACCAACTTTTTATCTTTTTTTCAGAATATAGTCCGCTAGTATCATCGTTAGCAGCAACAATTGTACTTTCTACAGGTATCCCACTGTGACTGTTCAATTGAATTTTCAATTTGGATTTTGTCAAATCACGTTGAAAAAGTTTTCCGCCAGCGTGCAGGGCAACGTGTGTCAACAAGTTACTTTTGAAAGCGAATATCTGTTGACAGATGGTACATTCGTGAGGTGCCTCGCCAGTATGTAGTCTACAGTGTTCTATAATAACGCTTTTCTGTCTGAACGATTTATCGCATATATCGCATTTAAATGACTTCCCCGCTGTATGCGTATCAATATGAAAAAGCAAATTCTTCTCTGAGGTGCAGTTTTTCAGGCAAATGTAACATTCAAAAGGTTTCTCGCCAGTGTGCATTATTCGATGGCGAGTCATATCAAACTTTCGTTTGAACGCTTTTTGACACATATCGCACTTGAACGGTCTCTCGACAATTTGTTCTCTCATGTATGTGATCAAATGTTCGAATGATTTCAAGTTATCGTGCAGTTTTGAATGTTCTCGCAAAGAATCAGCAGAAGTGAATTGTTTCTGACAAGTGTCACATTCAAAAGGCACCAGACCAGTGTGCACATTGTGATGTACAATCAAGTGATCCTTGTGTGAGAATTCCTCCTGATAAATATCACATTGCAATGGTTCCTCACCAGTGTGTATTAATTTATGTTTTGTTTCAAAATATTGTCCGCTGGTATCACCGTTAGCAGCAACAATTTTACTATCCACAGTTATCTCACTGTGACGAGCTTTGCTGTGACTGTTCAATTGACATTTCAATTTGGACTTTTTCACATCATATTGAAAAGGTTTCTCGCCAGCGTGCAGAGCAACGTGTGTCAACAAGTTACTTTTGAAAGCAAATATCTGTTGACAGATGGTACATTCGTGAGGTGCCTCGCCAGTATGGCGTCTACAGTGTTCTATAATAACACTCTTCCGACTGAACGACTTCACGCATATATCGCATTTGAATGACTTCCCCACAGTATGCATTTCAATATGAACAAGCAAACTCCTCTTTAAGGCGAAGTTTTTCAGGCAAATGTGACATTCAAAAGGTTTCTCGCCAGTGTGACTTCTTCGGTGGCCATTCAAATCGAATTTTCGTTTGAACGCTTTTTGACAAATATCGCACTTGAACGGTTTCTCGTCAGGGTGTTCTCTCTTGTATGTGATCGAATGTTCGAATGATTTCAAGTTATCGTGCAGTTTTGAATGTTCTCGCAAAGAATCAGCAGAAGTGAATTGTTTCTGACAAGTGTCACATTCAAAAGGCTCCAGACCAGTGTGCACATTGTGATGTGCAATCAAGTGATCCTTGCGTGGGAATTTCTTCTGAGAAATATCACATTGCAATGGTTCGTAACCAGTGTGTATTAATTTATGTCGAGAAAAACGATAAATTGAAGTAAATTTCTTTGGGCAAATTCCACATTTGAAAAGATTCAGACCAGTGTGCTCGTTATAGTGTTTAGTCAAGTAAAACTGGAGTGCAAATTTCTTTTGGCAAATGTCGCATTGGAATGGTTTCTCACCAATGTGTATTGATTTATGTTGACTCAAACGATAGTTAGAGGTGAATGTCTTTCGGCAAATTTCACATTCGAAAAGATTCAGGTCAGTGTCCACGTGTTGATCTGCAATAAAGTCGACCTTCTGTGAGAAATTCTTCTGGTAATGTGAATTCCTCCTCTCAAATATGACATTTGAAGATTTTTTCGCCAGTGTGCGTGGTGATGTGTTTGTTGGGAATGTCCTTCCTGATGAACTTTGGCAGATTTCACATTCACCCTTATGCAGTCTATGGTGTTCCGTCAATAATAGACAAATATTGCATTTGATCAATTTCTTGATGGCTTTCTTCTTGTCATCCTGCGAATTCCCAGCAGCACTATCAGCTGAATCCATAACTTTCGACGCAGATTTCCAGGTGAGTGATCTAGTTTTTTTGGCAGGTACCTGATGTTCACTTCATCACGTGGGCAATGGATTGGAGGGAAACCTGTGGATGAATGAATCAGTGTTAATTCACAAGTGGATATAACATCACAGAATAAAAAGAATATTGATATTTAACACAATCAGGTAATGCGTGAAGGTGATTTTGATTCAAAATATTGCACTTGCATGGTCATCAATCAAATCAAGTTTATTACCAGATTAAAGTGTAAATGGTGTACAAAAAAACATAACATTCACATTTTGTCCAGCTTGTCACAAAGAAGAAACCTATAGAAACATTATACTGATACCTAGGAAATGTTTACAAGAATTAACACTCTTAATAATTAGTTGATGTCTACTATACAATATAACATTTCGGTACTTATCACATCTGAAATTACACAGCCAACTACTACTGATTCATGTTAGATCATCGTTTAGAGAAAATTCTTCAATACTGTAGAATGCCTTGCCTATTAAAAAGTGTTTCAATCTATCTTTGAACTGATTCATTGTATTACTAAGTGTTATCCCAGGTAACACGGAACTCTCCGCGATATCTCTGAGTAGTTATCTTCAGGATCAAAATGCGGAATCCTCCTGTGAAATGCCAAAGATCATTATAGGCTATCGCCATGGGAAATACTCTCTGGAGTCGTCCGAAAGAAATCGCGGAGATCTCGCCTCAGATTTGAAATTTTCCTCATTATTGCGAGTCCTTGAGGTTATCTATAATAGGAAATGAATAGGCATTTTTTTCTGTGAGCACCCAAGGATATCCTGGACGTAACAAGATCGAGCATTTCCCATTGCGAGCTCCTAAAGTAATAACAAACATAACCTGAATAATTTATGAATATTCCTACAAAAATATTGAGTTGTTTTTTTCAATAGCCATTATAATTCAAATACTGGGTGTCCCAAGTTATCGTATACAAGCAATATGTCGCCTATTTGGCAAGATATCAAAAACATTAAAAAACTGCATTGAATGGCATTAAATAACCTGCCTAATGGCTTATGAAGAATGTGATGTATTTGGCAGCCCCCTGATGGTAGATACTAATCGGTTTTTATTTCCAAATAGCATATTGTCTCTGAAAATTGCGTGTCAATCTATTTGAAATACAGCGATATAGCACATACAGTGCGTCCATAAAGTAACGCATAAATTCATTATTGGCTAAATGAACAATAAAATTAGAAATTCCCGAAACAGGTCGATTTTTGATTTCAATTTACTATTGTTTCAAATCAAAATCTAATATACAGGGTGAACCACTTTCGTGTAATGACGTCATTACCATTTTTTTCAAATGGAACCCCCCCCCTTTTTTTCAATTTCCAAATTGCCTTTGCTGAGCTGATTCCAAAAATGTATAATATGTTGCTTCAAATTGGTACAGGGTGGGCAAAAATGCAAAAATTTACTTACAAAGTAATAAAAATAATGAATAAACGTAATAAACACATTAAATGAAATTACGTATTGTTATACAACTACTTTGATAAACTATCAAGAACATCCAGCATTATTCTTAATAATTGTATCTTACAGCTTTTATTAGTGATCCAAGCCCGTGGACTATAAAAATCTTTTTGTTTGGCATTATCTTTTACCATTTTTTCAATTTGACAAAACTGTAAAAAACATTGAAGCACAGTTTCGTATTGTTAACGCTTTAGAGAAGGTACGATCGTGAACTTTTTTTACAAAATGCCTTTAACCGAAAATGACAGGATTGAAATATCAATGATGATTGGTATTATCTCTACTGGGCGAATACATTAATAGGTCATAAATAGGATTAAGTATTATCAATAGGATTTAGTGGAAATCATTAATTTGATTTGATTATAATTTTATCATTATGTTTTGTTTCAACTATTTCAGTAAACATGAGGGAAATTTTTACCACTTATTGAACATGGATATATTTTAATCTAATGAGCTCACACTTCGATTTTGAATTGATGCTAGCTGAACTTAACATATATTTTCAAAATTGTAGAGGGTTGAGAACGAAGTGTAGCGATTTTTTTGGTAGTTGTCTTAATCAAGACTTTGATTTTGTGGTGGCAGTCGAAACATGGTTGAAAGAAGGAGTTAGAGACGGAGAAATTGTTGATGACAGTACATATAACCTAGTAAGAGCAGACAGAAATCTTGAATTAACAAACAAATCAACTGGAGGTGGTGTTTTCATAGCTATAAAAAAGGAAATAAGAATTCTGAGAATTGTAAGGCAGAGTTCTTCATTTGAAGCAGCTTTTGTTGAAGTAAAAATTGGTAACGGTAAGTATGTTTTTTGTGCCCTCTATATACCATCAGGAAGCGTATGCGCTGTATATGAATCTGCTATCGTTTTCTTGCAAAGTAATTTGATAGATTGTGATATGGATAAAGTATATATCATGGGAGATTTCAATATCAAGGATATTACTGGAATAAATTATAATCGCCATATTTATAATAATAATATCTTAACGTGCTTTGAAGATTTCTTAGATTTCAATGGATTTCAATTATTCAATAATGTACAGAATTTCCAGGGGAGAACGTTGGATTTAGTTATTAGTTCTGAGAGTAACTCGTCTAGTTGTATCGTACGAAGAGACAATCTTCCATTTGTTATTGAGGATGTATATCACCCTGCTCTAGATATTACAATCAATTTAAATCTAAATAACCATGAGAGAATTAAGCAGAACTTAGGAGAATTCGAATATAATTACAAAAAAGCTGATTTTCTTAGATTAAGTGAAATGATGAGGGATACTGATTGGTCAAGTGTGATATCAGTAAAAAATGTGAATGAGGCAGTAAAAACATTTTACGGTAAATGGAATGAGATTATTAATGAATGTGTACCGAAGTACAATGTGTATAGAAACTCAAAGAAATATAAGTTATGGTTTACGAAAGAAATTAAAGACTTGCTGAAGGAAAAAGAGAGAGTTAGAAAACTAAGATTCGTATCTGATTATTATGCAGAACAGTTCAACAGTTTGAGGAAAAGAATCAAATCACTGATAAGATCAGAGGAGAGACTATTTATACAAAACATTGAGAGTGGTTTAGGGACAGATATAAATAAGTTTTGGAATTATGTAAATGATAAAAAGAGTAATAATAATAGTATTGGAAACTATGTATATAAAGAAAAAGAACTTGAAGACAATGAAACTGCAGAAGCATTTGCAACATTTTTCGCATCTGTATACTCTACTACTAAATCATCATATTCTGACTGTGTAAGTAGTAAAAACATAACAAATAGTACGTTCAATATGGAGTCAGTTACGCAGTCCGAATATGAAGATGCAGTGAAAAAATTGAAACCTAAGAAGGCGGCTGGAACAGATGGAATTCCACCCTATATACTGAAAGGTGTGAGCGAGTGGTTAAAAACACCGCTGCTACATATCTTCAACTTGATCTTGAGAACGAACGAATTTCCGAATTTGTGGAAAACAGCTGTAGTTACTCCCATCTTCAAATCCGGAGATAGAAAAGATATCGAAAATTTCAGACCTATTTCTATAATGTCTGCACCTTCAAAATTATTTGAACAAATTGTTTATACGAGAATTTATCGACATGTTGAGAATAGTATAGTTTCTCAACAACATGGTTTTGTTACCAAGAAATCTGTTAGTACAAACTTATTCAGCTTTGTGAGTACAGGATATGAAACACTTGAAAGCAAGTCACAACTCGATGTCATATTCACTGATTTTCAAAAGGCTTTCGATAAAGTCGATCACGATGTACTATTAGCAAAATTGAGTGAGTTTGGTTTTTCTGAAGGCACACTCAAAATGTTCGGAAGTTATCTTGAAAATAGATTCTTAGTAGTCAAGCATAATGGAAATACCTCAGGAAAATTTGAAGCTAATTCTGGAGTACCACAAGGTTCCAATTTGGGACCATTACTTTTTGTTATGTTCATCAATGACTTGCCCTCAATTCTCAGGTACTCGAGTTGTTTACTATTTGCAGATGATCTGAAAATTTTTAAAAAAATTGACACTATTAGAGATTGTGTTATGTTGCAAAAAGACTTAGAATGTGTTTGTGAGTGGAGCCGTAAAAATAAACTATCTTTCAATCTCAGAAAATGCAGTGTCATGAGAGTAACAAAGCTGAGAGATCCAATAATATTCGATTATATGATGCAAGATGAAGAATTACAAAGTGTTAGAGAGATGAAAGACCTGGGAATTACATATGACCATACGCTATCTTTTTCAAATCATGTGAGAAATATAACTAAAGCAGCAAACCGTTTGTTAGGCTTCATAGTAAGGCAGGCATCAAAATTTACTAACTTAGAAACTATAAAGATTTTGTATTTCACTCTAGTCAGATCTAAGCTCGAATTCGGTTCAGAAATTTGGTTAGGAGAATATCAAACTACACTATTTGAAATAGAAAAAATTCAGAACAAATTTTTAAGGTATATGTATTATAAAAAATATCGAATTTATCCCGACTACAATATAGTAAGAACTCTCCAATTGAGAAATGAGTTCAAAGTGATGTCTCTGGATGAACGAAGAAATCTGAATATAATAATCTTTCTATACAAATTATTAAATCATAAAATCAATTCCCCTGAACTACTATCTAGAATCAGATTCAATGTGCCTGCAAGACGAACACGAAATATTCTTATGTTCAATGTACCTCTAGTTTGTACTACCGCAAGGGCTCCACTTATAATCATGTTGCGACTTGCCAATACAATGAACTCAATGATAGATATAGATTGGACATTGTCAATGAGAAAATTCAGAAAAATCGCTACACATCATATCAACAATTTCAATTAAAATTCAACAGACTGTGAGTTATATTTGGAATTACTTATTGAACAAATATTATGTTATTTTGAAATATTTATTCATGTAATAAGGCCTTGTTTGGCCTGTTTGAATAATAAATAAATAAATAAATTGGC